AATTCACAGCCAGTTTATTAAAAAACAGAGCAAATTGCGAAATCTGCTTGAACTTGAACAAGGGGCTAAGCTCAAATATAAATATATATATATTTCCCAAATCTGTTGATACACGAACATGACATTTAATTTTTGCCTAAAAATGTTACTAATTAAAATAAAACTATTTGTTAACTATTTATATTATCACTCTTATTAGTCGTATAATTTGTGATTAGTTAAGATCTGACATTCCGAAACCATTTATCGATTAGGTTATATATTCTTTTTATTTCGTACAATGAACAAACAACTGTGTGTCAGAAAATCCCCCCCCCCCCCAGGCTCGGAGTGAAAATGTATGTCTCTTCTGTGCATTCAAAATAGCATGCTCTCTGTGTTTTCCTCTCCGGTAGAAGAAAATGACGACAATAATAAAATGGGTGGAGTACCCTGTCACGCAGCATGTCTAGAGCTAACACGGAGGCAATATTACTGCTGCCACGCCCGGAAATAATCATATCTGGATTCCCTACAGTTTCTTGCTCGAGTTATTTATTTCAAAATATTTACTACATACAGTATAACACTGCCTTGAATATTATGCCAAAGTTCTATATTTACCCCACGATGTATCTGTGGTACTATGCACCATATTGGCTATTGACCCACCCATGTCAAGTGTTCCCTACAAGGTGTTTACATTTTGAAGACTGTTTTTTACGAAAAGTCAATGTATAAGGTTAACTGTAAATAGTATATTATATGGAAATAGTGTTTGGAATAGCATAAAATACTACACTTACAATCTTGTCACCAATCATTATGTGTCAATGTGAAAAGATAGAGTTCTTACATGAGAATATAATATTTTGATATTTCTACATCTATTGTCTATTATAATTATAACGGCTGTTATAATACGCTTGGACTGTTCAGGGAGTCGGAAACATCGCTCGCTACAGTCATTACGGTGTCATAAATACCTGTTTCTAAGTAGCGACCAATTGTATTGTAGTTTATTTTATGTGATTTAACAAATCAATATACTAGTACATACTAACAATACATAGTACTAGTATGTGTTAGTTGTTGGTAAAGTTAGTGATGTGCGAGATGAGTTGGTGACCGTATTGCCCACGGGGCGTGTAACTCTGAGTGTGCCTTTGTAGGTGTGGCCTTTGGGCCGACACCTGGGAAACTGGGTCATACATCATTATTGTTTATATTTTGATGTCTGAGATGTGTTACCAAGTATACATTAACGTGATATTTTATCTTGATTCTGATGTGCCAGTTTGAAGTGGGTCTTAAATGGTATCACCAACCAGATGCATGGCATACCGAGGGATTATGGGTAATACATGTAGTATTTTCAGTTCCTCACTTTTCCCGACAGGATGGAATTTTGGCAGCTGCTGGTCAGTTTAGTTAACACT